TTCTGAAAATAAATGCGGTGACGTCGATAACTGAACGCAACTGTTGAAAATAAGTGGTGAGAAGTTGATTGATGTCAGTAGATCAGCTGGCTTTGTACTGTACCTTTGCGCCGCTACGTTCGCATCCACAACCCCGACATTACGCACCCACGACCGGACCGGATCCATCTCCTCTGCAAGACTTCTCTCTTTTAATCCGCTCACTTCTCGCATCAGATGCTCCTGGATCCCGAACATTTAAGCCAACGTCCTGCGCGTTTCGGTGCACTTTTTTTTAAACTTAAGAAAAAATAAACTGAGCTGGAGAGCTAAAGCACTTTGGCAAACAGCAGGTCCACCCAAGGCGCTGCGCTCCTCCACAGCTTTGCAGAACAAGTGACCGACGCTGTGTGATGATGTTTCAGAAGGCGCCCGCAGTTAAAAATCCACGCACACTTTCTTTCAAGGCTGAAACGATGCTAACAGATATATTCCCACACTAATTGCAAGCATTGTCCAAGCGCAAATCTCCAGCGTCAGTTCGAGCGCAAAGGTTTACCTGCTCGTTGCGCTAACTCATCACACAGTTCAGCGAGAGACCGTTCAGAAATATTCTTTCAAATATGTGTGTGTGCAGAAAGTCTCCCTTTGTCAGAGGACCAGATCGGATCAAAACAGTTCATCCGAGGGCCAGGAAGCTTGCAGTGAACCGCTGTCTCGAAGCATGAATGAGACCCTCTGCCGGGATAGAGAGTGGAGGAGGGGCCTTAGTGCCATATGGGGGACCGATTGTTGAAATGGATGCTCTCATTGGTGTAAAGTGCATCCGTTGTTTGGACTTCTGCCAGACTCAGCATCCAACCAGTGACTCGTGCAGCAAACTTTTCACTCACCAAGTTGGACCAGGATGACGATGAAGGGAAAACATACAATTTTACATTTGTTATAGCAGAAGCTGCTCGCATCTGTTAATAGTTTACGTTTAAATGTACGGCGTTTAATTCTGGTGAGCTTGAAATTACCGTTTCTCTTTGTGTGTGCGTGAGGGACTTTTACAATCAATATTATTCACCCTCAAATGTGTGGACAAATGTTAACAAAGGCTTAAATGTTTTATATTGGTTCATCTCTGAGTGTTTTATACTTGTTGAAATGGGGGGTTCCATTCTCCTTCACATGCTGCCCTGAATAGTCTGTACAGCAAATCCTGTTTGGTCTATTCATTCAAAGTCGGAATCTAACACAAGTGCGCTCTCGACATGCGCGTATTCAGTAGCTCGGCCGTCTGCTCCTTTGAACGCAGTGATTCCGCTGAGGAGGCATCGCATCAGCGTCAGCCGCAACAATGGCCGTCTGGTTGGTCCATCAATCTCCGCCAGCAGCAGACAAGGCTGCGCTCTGATTGGCGTTTGGACCTCTGCCTGACAGTGCCCGAAAAGAGTTCTTAATCAATACAACAGAATGTCTTTTCAAAGTGGTCATGAAATCAGTTTAGAAATAACGCTGGTAAAAAAAAAAAGAAGCTGCCTTCAGGCGTGATTTGGCAAGTTATAATCGAAACAACGATTGTCTGGATATAAGAGTGGTCATTTTGGATCTGACAAAGTTTCTTAATATTTGTATGATTTTCACCTTTAGAAGGCTCTTATAAACTGTAACGAACCTAAAAAGTTAAATGCATGAAGCACATTTTCTGTCAATAAAAGCGCTGCATTTTACATGAATCATATTATTGTTTAAATAATTCTCAGTTCCAAAATGGGTATTTTTAGGCCCAACAAAACGAATATATCATGTTATCATTGCTAGAGCAATTCTTTTTTTTTTTTTTTTTGCACACACAAAATAATTTCAGCTCCTGATAATCTGGCATTGAAAAGAAAAGGTTTTTTTTTTCAAACCCTGCTTCTTTGCCCTTTACCGATACTATTGTCTCTGTGTAGAGTTTGTGCGCCTGGACAATGGAAGTAAATCTCCCCCCTTGGATCCCGCCTCAACCCACCATCTGCCAGCGCGGGACAAAGTCAGATGTTCCCCCAATTCTGAGAGCAGTCTTGGGGAATCCTGCTGCCGAGTCTCCGCCCTGTCGCCGTGTCCCTCACACACTTCCCCTGACATGATTGACAGCTCTACTTAAGCTTGAAGAATCCGCATATGATGACACACTTTAATGAAATTCCTCTACTGAAATGCGGGGAGGTGCGCTCGTTAAAATACGTTGCTTGTATCGATTTAATGGCTCTTCGACTGTCTCATCTCAAAAGAAGCACTACATTACAGCCAGTGCACACACAGGATTATGTGTCAGTGCCTTGTTAAAAAACTCAGGTAATCGACTCAGAATGATTGCTTATGTGCAGGAAAGCAACGCTTCTGACGGTTCCTCCGCAAACTTAAAATAGGTCTAATCCAAGGAGGAAATATTAATTTAAAACATTGGACTGTACCGCACTGTAATTGCAGGGATGTGTGTTATTGTTTATCATGCACGCATACTTTGAGCTATAGATAGACCTACATCTTGGGCGGTGGCAGAATGGTGGCAACCCATCAAAACACATTTTTAGTATGAGTCAGTCAACAGGTTTCAGACGTCATCGCGGGGAAACATTTTGTTGAATCAGGTGATGACCGAACATAACATTTGTTCACTCACATAACATAGGCGTATTTACTAATGTACTTTGTTCATTTATTTAGGAAGAAATAAAGTTAATATAGATCACGCTTCACCTGGCTGCATGTTTACCCTAGGTTGTACGCTTTAGCCTATATCTATAATGTATTTGTTGAGAAAGTCGAGCTGGCTGAAAGCTGTGCATTTATCAGAGAAACAGATTAAGTCAATAAAAAATCCTCATCATGATATCCATGATATTATAAGTCGTCTGTCCACTTCAGCCCCACAGGTGCGACAGGCTCGGCCGTGATTATCACAACCCGCAGGACTTTGCTGTCTAAATGTGGCTTTTCTAAATTGGTGAAGCGGAGAGTTGGGGCGAAAATGGGGGATTAGTTAAACCACAAACGTCTTTCTAATCAATTTAACCCGCTGAGACGGTCAGCCCGTGTGTTTTAGGGAGGAGGTGAGGGGGGGGAATCAGTGACTGCTAAACTAAACAATGGGGTATCGTGTGCCGCTCGTCCTCTCCAGCATTCCCCCGCTCCCATGGGACACCCACAGCCCCTCTGTGTGGATGGCACTGTGTCCACCGAGGTCAGAAGGGGCGTGGTCGTGTGTCCGTGTGTGTGTGTGTGTGTGTGTGTGTGTGTGTGGAGGCGCAGCAGCTGGTTCCCGTCCCTCTTCTCCACTGTGCAGAAAACAACGCAAACTAATGCGACCCACCAGGTCTCCCATCGATCGCCATATATTGTGCTCGTTTTGTTTGTTTGTTTACTTATTTAGGATTGGTTGCAGATCCCCCGGGAGGTGTCGGCATCCGCAATTAAGGTTGACTGACCACCTTTAGCCTAATTTCTTAACATCAAAACCCATTAAACATTTGCATCTATATAAGCCCTGTTGTAATTTAGCGTTTAATCATTTCTTTAAAGAAAATCAAATCGAATGTGATTTATGTATTCAAAGCAACTATAGGCGTGGTATACTTATAATGAAAAAATACATTTTGAAAGTTCACAGGTTGGTTCTGAATATCGTAATATTTCTGTAGCCTCCATATCACTGTTATCTGTTTGATCAAATTTGATGTTTTTGGTTTTCTGGTGAATTGGATGAATATTAGCAATATAGTTTACCTTTTGAATTACACTAAACCTTTCATCTTCACCACAGTCATGTCAACTCTTTAATTTACCCACAATTAGTTATGTTATGTATTGTGCTCAGCCCATATGGACAAGACACCAACACTTTGGAAAGTACATTTGTCAGATGAAACCAAGCTTCTTACATAGATTACATTACAAACAAAGAACTTTGAGTTCTCTTTAAAGGTAATGCCAGGGAGCCAGCTTGCACAAGGTATTCAAACTGGCCCAAATCCAAATGGGAATGTTCCAAGTTCCTTTACAACAAACAATGTGCAATTATTTGTGCAATTAGTACACACCGATGCCAGAGCACATTAAAGAGTGGGCTGAAATAATTCTTAGAATGCTTTTCAATTCAAAAATTTGCATTTTACAATGACATGTATAATTAACTTCTGGTTCAAACAACAGTTGTTGGTTCTTCAAAGAGGATGCCTCACCTGCAAGTGACGAAGAGCTGAGCATGAATTCACTCCACGTAATGATTCGTATTGCACACTGGCTTGCAGCAGTAGAGATGCACTGCAGGTGAAACACACCTAAACTCACTTCATCATCTGTTTGCGGAACTTTTTACCTGTTTTTAGGCTGATAGCACAGTAAATAATTTGTACACAAGCATTTGCTATTGAACATCACTGAAAGATAGCATGGTTTTTATGATCGCCATGATTTGTTATCACTGTAATATAAACTTTGCTTTAGAGAATGGTGTTGCATTGCACACTTGCCAACCCACCAACCACTGAAGTGAGGTCAAGTAGGTCTTTCCAATTCATGTGAAGAGGTTTAAGGGAAACTGTTGTTGTCAGTTGTTACATTTAGAGATTGTAGAGACAACATCAATAAATATCCCTTCTGAACAATCTTCTCTTTAGTTAGTTCCAAGCATCAACTTGTTTTGATTCTTTGCTTTCACTTAAACAAAGTTTAAAGTGCATGTGTTTAAAGCACAGATTCACCTCTAAGGTTTATCGAGATTTGAATGATACCAGTATAAGCCACATCTACAAATTGACGGTTCATTTCAAAAACTATTAAATCCTCAAGATGAACAGAGCAGGACTTCAGTTCATCCAAAACCACAGGTTGGTAAGGCTTTCATGACTTAAAAGATTGTATGTCAGGGCCATCTTCTGGTCTGGTGAAGAACATCATCAACTGTGGTTTTCTGGGTATGCAAACTAAGGTGTTGAGATCCTCAGAAGGTGTTGTGTATTATCAAAAAAATCATTCAGAGGCAGTTGTTAATCTGTATAACAGTCATTTATTATTGTCAAACTAAAGGTGACTTTCACATGTACATTCTGAAAAAACAGTGTTCCCAAAGAAATTGGTTATAAATGACAGCTATTGCGTTTGTATCTTATTTGAGGATTGCATGTTTGTAAATTGTACAATACGTTAAAATTTTCAAAACAAAAGTAGAGGAAAATATAATATCTTAAGTCAAGCAGTTTTCATATTATTTTTAGTTAATTTTACAACAAAAGAAAAATAGTACAATAAGCTATGCCCTTCATGTAACAATAAAGTGCAGGTATCAGTGCGTTAGAAATATCCCTTCATCCAATACAAAATCTTTTAAAACAGTAAAATAATGCTTTTTTTTCAGCAAGGTTCACTACAACAAAATGTCTATTTTAAGATGTTATTTTGTCTTTAATTAAAGTCTCAGCATAGCTCTGCTCCTGAGAAAAGGTCAAACCAGAATAATTTTTAGCACCTGTGGTGCCTTGAGTGCGATTATCTCACCCTATTGGCAGCAACTAAGAGGTATATTAGAGTAAATAACTGGTCAAAACAGATTTCCTTTTGCAGCGTCTTAGGGATGCTGTGGGTCAAAAGCTGTTTCAAGAGCTCCTACTCAGAAAACAGAAAATGCCCTGAAAAGAAACAGTCATGGGTCAAACCGTTGCCATCGTGGTTGGCCACCAGATAGACATGGTCTCCCTTGTTAAGCTTAATGTAGGTGTTGCCACTGGCTGTGAGGTAACCTGTCTGCCAGGTGGTGAATGAGTGCACGATCAAATGTTCGTTACGCATCAGATCTATACTGCCATCCTTTTGGAAGATGGTGCAGTGGAACTGGAATTCATACACGCCTGGATGCGGAGATGTAAACATCCCTGTCTTTGGGTTATAGCTGTTCTGTCCATTGTAGATGGCCTCACTGAAGTGGAGGGGCATTCCGGCTTGGGGCATGTCGTTGCCAAGTCGCATAGAGAAAGCCACTTGCTCAAAGGTGAAATGAGGTCCAGGGGGTCCATATGGTCCTGTATGAAAAAAAGACATACATTTAGAAAGTACAATTATATCAACAGGACATTCCCATTACAGTAATTTCAAGTAATATTTTTCAATTTAAATATTTATGGATGAGTTGTAGATTTACCTGTTGGTGCCGAGGGTCCATGTGGGTCTTGTGTTAGTAAAAAATGAAAAGGAAAATCAGTATATTCAAAATATTCTAATGTCGGAAATGATTGTCTTGGACAACTGTGTCAGATGGAATTTCAGGACATCAACTCACCATCCTCATTCCATGGACTGAGATCAAAGGCAGGGATGTTCTCACACCGGGTGTAACCGTAGCCACGAGGCCGGTACAGAAAGGGGTTTTTCGGTACTTCAGTGATACCAGTGTTGTCACAGATAATGCGAGCGAGCAAAGTTTCCCTCAGTGATTTCTTCTGGGCCTCAGTAAATACTCCATTATTCTCCCACCAAAGTCTGAAATTGGACAGTTTGGTAACATTTAAAGTCTATGAATCTCTCAATCTCTCATTAATGTAAAGGTGCAGGTAACACAAATATCTCCACATCTTTAGCAATGTCAGTTATGAAACATACCGGTCTCCCTGGCGGATCTGCTGGAACTGACGGGCAATCAGGCAAGCAAACAAAGGTCCCACTCTTCCTCCGGGGACAAACGGCTCAGCCACTCCTCCCAGCCACACATCAATGTTGTCGGGTGTTTTGTAGAGATCCAGCAGTTTCTCCGCTATTTCTGTGTTGTTTAGCACTTCAGCCAACTCTTCCAGATTTCGTGGTTGTGTCAGCCCACAGAACTTGCGCCATTTGTTGTAGCCTAAAAATAACATACAGGGTAAATATGCTGCCATGTTTTAGGAGTGTGATCTGTAATGCCTGCAAAATCCGAGATATATAAGTAAAATTGACTCTATATATAAAGAGCACATAGGTATGAAGACTAAATAACTACCAGGGAGTCCATGGTCTCTTCCTCTCTGCATGTTGAGAGCGGCCAGATCCAGTGCCAACTGACTGGTGAATTTAAAGAGCCTGTCCCTCAGCTCATCAGACATCATGTGATCCTGTGTGTTCAGCTTGGCCGGACGACCCACCAGGCCCCTGATGATTGGGTCCACACCACCTGAGGAACACGAGAGATAATTTAATTTTGATCAATTGTATTCATTCTCTGCTTAGGGAACGACTAACAAGTTAAAGACCTTGGCATTACCTTCAAAGACGATCCTCCACGGTGTGAAGAAGGCTTTGTGCAGCAATGGGCTGGGGTAAACAGGGTGCTCCTCGTACATCTCATTAAGACGAAACATGTGGGGCTGGACCATCAGGTGAGCGAATCGGTAGGCAGCTGTGGCGAACACATTGGAGATCGAGGGGTCCACGTGTTCATCATAACCAGGGTAGGTAGAAAGATGACTGGCAATGAAGTCTGGACCAACAATGTGACCTAAGTATTCTCTGAAAGTGAGAACCTAACAGACAGAAAATACACTGAGTTGATTGAACCACGTGAAGACAAACCAATATTTCTGTAATCCATGCAGCTAAACGTGTCTCTAACCTGTGAATATCCTCCCATGATTTTACGTGCTTCTTGATAGAGTCTCTCTCCGTCCCAGTGAGTATTGAGCTGTGCCAGATGATAAACCAGACGGTTGTGCTCACGCAGGAACAGTGTGTGTAAAGCGGTCAGACCAATTTGCTCATTGGACCGCTCGTCACCTTTAAGGTCAGATAAAATGAGG